AGGCGTGTCCATGAACACGGCCTCTCACGATGTGACTGGTGGCCTCAAGGTGCACGTTCCGGGCGGTTTTGGGTGTTCGATACACTCCAACTCACTTTGCATGGAAGTGGAGAGAGTCCCGTGTTTGTAGAGGATTGAAAATGGTCATCCAAAGGGCCATGCCATCCACTTCCATTTCCATGCAACGTGAGTCGGAGTGTGCCCTGCAGAAGCCAGCCGCAACAATAGAAACATGATACACTGATAATACCCTGGATCCAGCAGACACAGAAAGAAGTCATCTCCTTCCATCACTCTTAGGATGAGTATATAGAACATTATAGAACCTTACATAGACACCCTGATGTTGACAAAGGTGTTGTAAATCCAACAGTTCAATGTTAGTTTATCATTGATCATCTTGAATATTGCAAGTAAACATTCAAAATGTTATTCATATACACGTTCTGTGCGTTTTTTGCAGTTCTACATGGAGGTGCAGTTTCTTTTTTCAGACAAGACCTCTCAGTCAGCTCTTTCCAGAGCTGAGTCAGGTGACCGGTCACCACAAGTGTTGGAGGAAAAGGAGTGGACCAACCCCGGTGGACCAAACAGTTATTTCTTGGTTAAAGATCCCAGGGCTCAAGCTGCAGGTCTAGCAGAATTCGAAGCCAGATATTCCTGCGTTCGCCCTCCTGCTTCGGCTATCGCAAAGTCCAAAACGAGTTAAAGATCCCTAAACAATCTACGCTGGAAATTATCCAAGCTGTTCAAACACCCCCTGCGAATCATCCTAATTCTCATTTCTAACACACACCCAACCAAGTCCCAGGATGAAACAGAGTCCTACAACTCCCCCAACTCACCGACCCCAACCCGCCGGTTCTGCCCGCATCTGCACCCCATGCCGCCTCCGCAATTGTATGCCGCACCCATCAAGCACCTCGAGTGTGGCAGCTCGACAGACTCGAGGCCAAGCTGGAAAGTGCGGCCGACGTCTTGAGGGGCGCCCCCAGTGTCCAGGCGTGACGACGGAGACCGTCCTCACGAGGGTGAAGTTCACGTCGTTTTGAAGCGGCTTTCTTTTTTTGGGGGGGGGGTCAGTGAGTGTTCACTGAATGAGAAGCCATGTTTCTGGTGAAAAATTGCGTTTTCTCAAGGTCAGGTGGAAAAACTCAGGCGTGAGAGCATGGGGACATGGGGACTGCATGAAAGGGGAGCATATACCGGTTGCGAGGATGGAAATGGATGGAAGGAGGTTGTTTGGTCAAGACCAGAGTTCTTTGGATGCCATCTCTATCCATCTCCCATGTTTGCGTCGGTGATAGTCGACTTCGGTCACCTTCGGTCACCTTGATCCATGCATGTCACGTCCAAGGGCGAACCGTGCGGCTCGAGTGTCTGGCGGTTCGCCCCTTTCAACCAGGCGGTCTACATCGTGAAGGCCGGGAGTGCTGCAGCCGCCGAGGCACGGCCCGAGCGGCGCGAGCGGCGAAGGCGAATGCGGCGAAGGCGGCGAAGGCGGGAGGGGCAAGAAGCGGTGTGAGAGGCGAGGCGACTGATGCAGGGAGGGTGACCATGGAAGCATGTGATGATGGAAACGTGGAGGAGTGGGGGTGCCAAGAGCCTGGCAAAATCAATTCTGTGAGATCTTTGCAGAGGGAGAGGAACGGAGAGGACATGAGTAGATAGAAGTACAGAGGACATGGCACAAGCACCTTTGCCTCTATAGTTGGCTTCGCGAGCCCGGGCAATTCCTCATGCCAACCCAGGGCCGTGCCATCTACTTTACAGGTATAGATTGGATAAAACTTCCAGTGGTTTCAGAGTAGATGGCACTAGGGTCCCCAAGTTTGGTGGTTCATATGGACCCCCATCTGAAGGACATCTACGGGTTTGTGCCATCGAGCCTCTGAAAACACTGTAACAGGAATGGTTGGTGTGTTTTGCCCCGCTTGGTCATTGCTGAAACCAACATGACACCACGGCCCCATGGATCACTGTACAGGAACTTTACAGATATCACAAGCAGAACAATGGAAGTCCTATAGAATCAATGACTGGGCGGCTCATCCGTGAATTCCATCCCATGCCCAGTGTTAGTAGGTTTCAGAAGTGTTCTTGGTCTGGTTTAGTAGAGATTATGAGCATCCATTGTTCATGTTGCCCCATCAACTATCCAGTAGACTCAGTATGCACTAACAGTGACAGATGCCAGGATCAGGGCTGAATAGGGCTCTTTTTGAGCGACTGTCCCTTCAAGTCGCTTCAATGCACATTTGTGCTTTCAGGACAAAATTTCAAGATGCTGATGCTGATGCTGATGGGCATGGCAGAGATCAGTGGGAGAAGTTGATCGAATTCGGCCAATTTTGGCTTCCACGATTATCCACATGCTGGAGAAGATCACCTGATAGTCTCAATCAATCTCCCTGAATTTCTGCTCGTCCCTCTCCCAATGGAAGCCCTCCTTCTGCAGCCTGAAGGCCTTGAGAGGCTGTGCGCCCAATCAAGGCCGGCACCTGGCGCGCCGACCGCGCATTCATCCGGAGACAGCAACCAACCTGGAGCATCCAATGGGTGTCCGACATCTCAAAGTAGTGTGGGTAGTTCCAGGAAGGCAAACATTTCTTTGGACATGTGACATGTGCATGGGAAGATTTATCTCCCAACTGTGGGGGGACCAACGCTTTTGGGGGCCTTCTTGGTGAGACAGATCTAAGAATCATGCCAGGTATGTGCCGTTGCTTCTGGATCCATGGTGTTTGAAAAACCATTGGTTGAAGCACCCGCCCAAATGCATCATGTACCACAATGAAGCGAAGTGCCTGGACCCCAGTCTTAACCTCGTATTAGACACTATCACTAGTGGCAGTGAATCTGCTAGAATCTACAAACTAGACATACGCAGGATCATTATGGCTTTTCAATCTCAGTGATTCTCACAGAACATCACCCAAAACTTAGACTTATGGTTCATGGTTCCCTTAGTGCCCCTCCGCATCCGCATCCCTCCGCAGGCACCACTCTGAGGCGACTCTAGCGCGTCGCCGCTTCAGTTTTCACCCTGGGCACTCCTGGCTTCGCAGCAGTTGGGCTCCCAAGGTAGAGGTCGACCTACCAGGGGAGGAGTAGTTTTCTACTCCCCATGAAACATGGGCGATAGGGACAGTTTTAAGGGTCGGAACAACCGGTTCCTTCCTTGAAAGCCAAATGAGCTACTGGGGTTTTGAACCCTGTCCTTTGTGCCATTGAATATCTATTGAGTCTCTCACAGTCCAATACCTGGCCGCCTAGCATAGTGGTAGCCAGGATTGCCGTCTTTGGCAGATGCGAGTGTTTCTCCATTTGGGACCTTTGGGGACGTGTGGCAACTCTGCAATGAAGGACTGGAAGGTCGTTTCGCTGCTTCTTGCGGCGAGTAGTATCATCCCGGCAACCTTGGTTTTGGAAACTTGCTCAAAGATGGGGGCGATTCACATCAAAGAAGTTTGCTCAATGGATGCTACAACTTTACAACGATGTAAGGAAGCTGTGGAACATGATGTTCTAGTGGAATGTCAGTGATCGGCTGAGAATCATGGATTGTGGATCTCTACTTACTGCACTGTACTTACTTACTCTACTTGAATGGATGCTCGAACATTGAGAGGATGACGTTGGTGTAATATGTTTTTTTGTTCTTAACGTGTCCTGCCTGCTTATGTAATATGGGTTTGCATGGCAAACATCCCGGCCCGTGAATGTCAAAATTAATCAATACAAATCAATATCGCAGTCAACGCAATTTGTTGAAATGATGGATACAATTTGCTGGAATTAAGGGCCATGGAAAGGCCGTGACATGCCGTGACATACTCTAGTGCAACATCCAGCGGTCTCACTGGTTTTAGTTGTGAACCCATCGAGTTCCTTGGTTGACCATTTGAACAGGGGTCAAATTGGATGAGGGTTCGCAAGAACACCATTGAATCCTTGGAATGTGAGCTGAGCATTTGGCATTATTTGCCTTCTTATAGGCTCTTGGGTGGGGAAAGACCTCAAAATGCAGAGTCCCTTTACCCTGGTGTCAAGACTTCATGTGTTCTCATTTGCTTTGATGTGGATTTCTGGACCGTTCTTCAAGTTCTTCTTCGACACGGACCGTGATCCACCGATCCGGGCTCCAACGATCCACACGAGACCGGTCTGTTCGGGGAGAACTGGATAGAACTAGTAGCGTTCGATCGCTCCGTTCGTAGTACGACCAGGAACCCCGATCGTAGCGTTCGATCGCTCTTAGTGCCGGCGATGCCCTTGAATTCATGTTTGACCTCCAAGAGAGGAAGCTACATGAAGCTACCGAAACGCCTGAAGCGCTGGTCCGGCCAAATCGTCCCACCGTGGAGAAGCGCTGAAGCCATCCGTCCGTTTTTCCCCGCGGCAAAAGCCCTGCACTTCCGCAAAAGGCTTCCGAGAAAGGGACAGAACGGGTGAGTTTGGGGTGATGCTTGTTCTTCCAGCAGACGGCCGGGTTTGTTGGTCGCCCGCCCAAGACCCCGGTTCCTTTTGATCGACCCTCAACGTCTTGGAGTGACTGGTCCTCTTGTATATCCACTTCAATAGATTCAATAGATCAAAAGCATGAAAACGCTCCCGGAAAAAATCCCGTGGATGCTGAGAGTTTGGTCGGATACGACCGAAGGTCGATGATCGTTTTCTCCTAAAACACCATCACCATCGTGGTTTCTGTGGTGCATCTGAGGAGAGGGTATGTGCTTGTTTTTTTCTTCACCCACTTGTTCAGTTGAACCAATCCTGCAAGTTTTACCATTTACAGCTTTGTTAGCCGTTAGCCGCTTGTGGAGTGATAAAGCATGCTGCGATACACATACTAACATACTAATCAAAAGAGAACATAGGCCGCTGTTGTTGGCGGGTGGCCTACCTAGGGCCTAGGGGTTTAGTGTGATCGAGTCATAGGGCTGTTTAGTGCATCAGGAGTGGTGAAATGGCAACCACGGCGCGAATGGGCCACGCAGGTTCTTTCCTCATCATGTTCCTGGTCTGGGCGTCCGCCAACATTGTCCTCTTTAATTTGCTCCTGGGCAGCCGTGGATGAAGGGATGAAGGTTCTCTTCGACGCGGACGTAGAAGTTGCATGCTGACCACTTGATGCTCCCTGTTCTTCAGGGATGCCTGCTCGACCCATGGCACTGACGCTCCATGGCACTGACGCAAGTTACCGATCAGTGGGGGAACTCGGGGGGTGAATGTAGGCCTATAGCCTAAATATATAAAAACAACAATATGATATAAGATGTATATAAATATTCCAGTGCCATGGAGTATAGTTTGAAATAGCTGCCGCCGATTCTTTACTGGCCAACTTTGGTGCAGCCAGCGCTGGCCGTGGTGTTTTTCTCGTCCCCGGACGGATGCTGGTGGTTGCTTTCTTGGACAGGCAGGACATTCTGGGCAAAGGTTTTTTGGGGGGCCAAGAAACCGTAGACAGGAACCTTGGGCAAAGACTGGAAGATGTTGTAGACTGCTCCCTTAAAGTCATCACCAATGTGGTGAAATAAAAACAGTAGGACTGAAAACAGCAACAGTTGGGACATATGTACTGTACCTGCTTTGATCAGGTTTAATCTCTGAAAGTCCTTTCCCAGGTATATATTTGCGACTTGTAGACAGTGATGGTTCTAGATGTGGAGCTGGACAAAGGACCCAGTAGGATTTTGGAAAGCTGGTTTCGGTGAAGAGCTCTTCAGATAAAGCATCAGCAGACCAATGCCCTGAATTCTGTCAATCTATTTGATATGTTATCCTAAACTCATACTACACTTTGTCTTTGGTTGTTCCTGAATTGGTGCAACACTTTGCCAGCAAAATCTAAGCCACCAGTAGAACCACCTAGTAGGACCACCAGTTGTTTTTATTTCCACTCCCAGCTGTGGAAGGTTTTTGTCCTTGACCCCGAACCTGCTCTATGGCGGAGCGTCTCTCGGCCTGGGCCAGATGTATGGCTAGATGACGCTAGATGTATAGGTAGACGGTATACCGGTATACCTCTCCTCCAACAAACATGGAAGTGGCCAGTGCCCTGTTCGGTGTTCGGATTTCATCGTCTTTCAAGCGTTTCAAGTGGTCATGCCATCCACTTCCATGATTGTTTCAGGGAGGGTACATGTTGATGACCCCCTTCTCCCGTTTCAGGGATCCAGCAAAACTTCCTGCGGAGTTCTCTGCGATGTTATGCGATGTTCTCTCGTTTTAGGACCTTGTCCATCAACTAGTGGAGACCTTAGATGTCGTATGGTTGAAGGCAACGACAGGTTGGTGCCAGTGTTCCAAGAGCTCACCTACAGCCGACCTCGTGTTTTTGAATCAGTTGACCTGTTCTCCGCATCGATCACTAGGCGGATCTTGGAGATGATCTACTCAGGATGATGTAGATTCCACCCATGAACAATCCGTTTGTTCAAAGGCCTGGTGTTCTTTACATGTTGTGATATCTCTTGACTAATTGTTCCTAACACATGTTACTCGGCGGGAGAATAGAACATCCACTGGAAAACTACCTTCCAGGGTTTGGTTTGCTTTTCTTCAACAACTACGACATCAGCCCTAGATGTCAAAAGATAGCTTTTAACGTATATCCTGGAGGACTATTCAGTCAGGATGTTTCTGAGCATGTCTTCGAGCAAGGCCTTGGGGCCCTTGGCTGCTCAACAAAAGAGTGAACATGGAAAGCATATGATTAGATTCATCAATATCCCAAGCTCTCCCATGCCTATTTGCATCATTGATGCTCCTTCTGCCTTAGCCAAAGCCTCCTCCACCGCCATGCTTGCAGCAGGCAGCAGCGCTTGAACCTTTTCCCAAGTATGAGAAGACCACCAAACACATCACGTAGCTTTCCCCGAAATGCAATAATTACGTTGCTCAGAACTGTTGGTGCAAGCAGACAAACCCTAGATATTGCCGAACATTGTATTGTGTCTATTTTAAACATACCTTCACGCCAGAAAAGAATGTTTGTACGCTGGTTCACGCTGGTTCGCAGCAGGCTCACGCGTATTTTGTTCTCACTTGATATCACCAGTGCCAATGGTCATCATGTTCCCTTTCCAACGTACCTGTGAGAGAATCACAGATCTAAAAGAAGTCTTGGTTCTGCTGTTTTTTCTCATTGCAGTGGGCCTGAGACTGTGTTCGGCTGATGCATCCCGAGTTCGGCACCGAGCCTCACCGAACTCGGTTACCGAGGTTCAAGGTGGCGCCCTGTGCGTCCACCGTGGACAACTTGCTGATGGTCTTCAACTCCATTCTTCAGGAGCTGTGGGGCGGCCTCGAGAGTGACGCCTCAAAAGCGAACGTCGACTGGTGAAACACCAGTGAAGCTGGTAGAAAAGAAAGCACAGACTAAGTCACATGTGCCACATGACACAGGTTCGTTCTTTGCTGTACGTCATGTGTCAAGATCGCATTAGCCAACGAGTGGCTGGTGTGAAGCTTCTTGAAGTATGTGCTTACCGGCTCTTTGGGTGATCCTCCCCCCGGCAGTACATCAAATGATATCAAATGCTTTGTTTTAACATGCTTTAACCATTTTACCCTTCAACATGGCAGGTGCTCACGCCATGTACTCACCAGTTTGGGGCAGATCCGATAAACGATCCAGGCGCAGATGTGTTGGCGGGCGAGGCAGATATTAGATGAGGCCACTGGGGGGCGGTTGGGAATGCGATTGAGATAGACCCAGCAGTGCCAAAGGAAAGGTTTTGGTCTCTAAGTGAGTGGATACGGGGCAACCTTATTATTAGCCTAATTATCATCCTCAACGGCACCACCTTCAAGGTGTTCCTTTCTCCTTGGTGACACAGTCTCCGGGAAAAGTGACACGGTTGGTGCTTGGTGCTTGGTTCGGGAAAGTCACTGTGATGATATGGGATACCTTATATAATACCGTAGACCAGAGGTTTTTGAGGGATTTTTGCCGCAATCCACCACACCTTTGCTCTGTAGAACGATGGACAACGGTTCAACGGAAAGCCTAAACGACTCGGGCGAGAGCGGATTTCCGCCTCCGACCGGGCGACGAGATGTTCTTCGTTTGAACAAAGGCCATGAACGACACACCGCTGGAGTATTTTACATCTGCATAGTAGGCGGACAATCCCACGAAGAAACCGCTTTTTCTTTCTCTTTTTTCAGCCTTTTGGCGGTTTCCAAGAGACAGACTTGGAGAGTGTTTGCAGAAACGTTTCGTTTGGGCAGCAGCAGGAGTTTTGAAGTACTAAGAGTCATTTGTATTTTTTACCGTTTTTTTTTTAACAAGAGGTATTGATCCACAGTACGTCGTCGTCTAAGCTACAGCTATAGTAACAACGTAACATAACCTCAAATGATGAGAGCTACACTGGTTCTGCCAGATCTGATGGTTTTGATGCTGTTTTTTTGGTCCACCGTGTTTTTTGTAACTCGCCTGACTCCTGACTCCTGGCTCCTGCAGCCGATTGTTCGGCAGCGTTTCTTGCGCCGCTTTCGAGTACAGAAGAGACAAGAGACCCACGAGGTTTCATGAGGCTCCTAGATTGGGCATATGCAGCCTAAAACACACCTTAGTCTCAGTCTTGGCCGCTAGCAGCTGTACTTCATTAGTTCAAGGAGCCAGTCCACCAGAATAACATCCACGCACACCTTTCTGGAAATTCGTCAACCCTAATAATACATGACACACACACATCGCTTCTGGCCCTGTTGTGTTGACTCCTTACCTCACCCCCCCCTACCCCGAAGCAGAAGCCTCCCAACCCACAAAACGGATCCCAAAGAACCCATCAGAACCCATCAGAACCCCCGCGGGTCGGCCTCTCCCTTCCCGGATGACGGACCTGGCCGATGCGGCGGATGCCTGGCCGGTGCTGGCGGCGCTGACCGAGCTGCGCGACTGGCTCTCGGAGGGGCTGAGCAACTGCGTCACGGGCGAAGCGAAGACGCCGGCCTTGACGGAAGGCGCGGACCCTGCGAGGGTTTTCGGGGAATGCTCCATAGGGAGACCCTCCTCAAGGGCTCGGAAGACCCTCCTCACGGGGGGGTCGGAGACTTTGATTGGGGGCGGTGAACATGTATTAGGGAGGCCCACCTCACTCAGGCGCTCGGAAGACCGTAGAATGATGTGTTTGGAGGTCTCCCTTTTTTGGGGCACGCCCAGGTTGTGACATCTTGGCGCATCTAGGTTCCGGCGTGTTTTCAGCAGGGCCTTTTGTTTTCCAGATGGAGTGAAGGTAAGGAGCCATGTTCCGCTCATGCGGAGTGACACCAGGTGGTGGCCGAGTGGTGATGTTTCACGTGGAAGCCCAGAATCTCAGAAGTGAGAAGTGGTAAGATCCGATCTAAAATCATAACAGTCATCAAAAGTCCTCCATTCCCCGATCCGATCTACCTGGACCATCCAGTCTGGGTGTTCTGTTTTTGGACATCGATCGTATAGGGCTGGGTAACTCCAAGCCAGGACTGGTCCTGGTAGGTGATGAATTCTTTCCCCACATCTTACACAACTTACACAATGGTCGTTCCAATATCCGTGGGATACCTCCCCCTCAATAAAACGTTTTAGATGTATCTCATTGGAGGATGCACAACTAACTTCCACACACAACCCCCCTACTCTCCTTCCTGGGCGACCCTCCTCGGCACATGGAGGAGGCTTGGGTTCCTGGACGCGGCCAGGTGGAGAATCGACCTTCAACCTGCAGTGGCTTGGAGACGATGGGGACGGTCCGAAGGGGTCACGGCTCGAACGGGTCGGTGGAAGAGAGAGGAGGCATGTGGCCAAGCCTTGTGGGATGGGATTCTTCGAAGTTGCAGTCAGATGGGATGGGATGGGATGGGATGGGACGGTGTCTTTTTTGGGAGTCGGCCAAAGAGGGAGACGAACGTCGGGATGCCACATGCGCCCAGATCGAACAGCAGGAACAGCAGCTCTCTGTCGACAGTCCCAAGATGTTCCAACTACATAGTCCACATGCATTGCATATATGCATCTTCCATCTAAGAGGATTCATGAGGATTTATACATGTTCCATCTAATTCCCACAGGGTTCAAACTTGGAGTTTCACCACAAACTGTGGCTGTTCAGGTCAACTACCCGACCCGGCACGAGAAATACAGAACAGCCCGGGTTGAAATGGAGGAAACGGACAATTCGATCGCCACAGACACCCTGCTTCCCCCGGACCGATTGGGGCGTTCAGATGACGGAGGTTGCGGCCATACATTCCCTATGGATCCACTGCCACCTTCTCAGAAAGCAATTGGACCCTCCTGGCACCTGCATAAATAGTCTCCAATTACCCTCTGAGAAGGTATGTGGATCCATAGGGATTTGCAGCTGGAAATCCCACTGGGCTGTCTGACATCATGGCTATTCAGCTATTCTGCTAAATACGTTCATGGCAGTGGATAGACTTCGAGCTCAGTTACTGCGCCAATTTGTGAAACACCTCGTCAGGGATTACATAGGGATATTGTAAGGGCTACGCCCCGTGCCGCCGACCCCAGCGAGGGGGAGAAGGGTCGTGGTTTCATGTCATCTGGAATGGAGTAAATAAGACGCCCGCTGAATAAGTGGGACGTGCTGCACAAGCACTGTCGTATTTACTCCATTTCCAGATGACATGAAACCCACGTACACTCTAAGG